CTGGGGGCTTGAGGCAGTCCTTCAGTGCCGTATCCCATCGAGTCACTGCTGTTGCCGCCCTTTGAGAGGCTAGCCGAGCACAGCGACGTCGACGCCACATAAATACACATACACACAATGCTGCCTGGCGGCACTGAGTCTTTTCCCTGTACTTCGAACGCAGGATACGCTACAGTATCGTCCAACTCCTGCGCCCCCCCCCTGTAGGTAGAACCCTTTGGATAGAATGCGTGTATCCATAATTATCCCGCCATTAGAGCGACGTCTTTTCATTGGTAAGTCGGTTAGCGCGGTCGGCGCTACTGCGGGAAACACGAACACATCTCGGTGTCTTCGGCATGTGAGTAGCTCCAAGGTCCTTTCCACTTTCCGGCATGCTGTTCACTTCGTCTGCCCCAGCACACAACCGGACGACGGAGGCAGACCCACACACGCATACGCGGGTGAGGCGGAGAGCCCTGACGTTTTGGCCTCACTACCACACCCTCAACTCCATTGCTACTTTGCACCTCTTTCCGGCGAGCGTGTTCCCACAGAACTCCCATCTGCGAGGGACCGGTACATATTTTGTGAACGCATCGGGGGTAAGAACGATTTCAAACAAGAAGCTCGACAACAACAATGACGACGACAGCAACAACCAATGCCAATGACAACCTACACGTATTCTACATAACGGGCCTACCCGAAGAAAAGAAACGTCAAACTCGGGTCCACGCTCTGCTTCCTGTTTGATCGCCACTCTACTTAGTTTCTTGTTTCGTCGCCACTGTCGAGCACAGCTCATCATACTTAAGTAGGGTTTAGTGCAGGATCCACCGCTAAGCTGTGTCTCTGTCTTTTTTCGTATATTTTTCGCGAATATTAGAAGTATTCATGTATGTGTATAAATAAATAAATAAATCATTTTTTGGGTTTTGGAGGTTAAGTGTTTTTTGGTTTTTGGAGGACAATATTCGAGCATCTGTTTCTTCACGAAACATTTCGCAACTGCGGGCCCGTTTCTGTATTCTGTTCGACCCGACCCCAACGTCTAGTATCGCAAGTTTGTGGTTGAATGATCTCCGGAGGAAAGCACGAAATGACACCCTTTCTATCGTCATCAACGTGCGATTTGGCGATGCCATGTCTTAGCACCTGCTGTGTTCGAAGGCCCCCCATGGCCCAACGCCCCTCCATCGCCCCCCTCCCACCCCGACGCGAGCGAAGAAACATCGCCAGCAGCAGTAGCAGCAGCAGCAGCAGTAGCAGAACCGCCTGAGGCGGTGGCGGAAGGGGGCCCCGCGGTTCGACCGCCCTCGCTACGGTACCTGAGACCCTGGAAGGGTCGGCGTTGTGGAAGTTTGCCACAAGGGCAAGGCATGAGAGGGGAACGAGGGTACATGGTTTGCGGGACAATACATAAAAAATACTTTGTTCACTACAAAACAAATGAAAGCAAAACGAGAGGCCGAACGCTGGACCATAACGGCCTTTGGCGATGTTTTCCCGAGCAGGCTATCCTGAATCTGGGAACAAACACCAAAAACAAGCACAACAGCACAGGACAACAAAACACTGCCGAAGACCGACAGAAACTTTGACCCACGGGATCGAGCTCCAAGGTTACCCAACACAATGGTGGAGCTACAAGCCCCGTGCGGTTCATGCAAGGGTCCATCGCTTCCGCAGAAAAATGTATTATCTCGGACGGGCAGTCACTCCGTGATCGTAAAATTATTTTCTAAATTGGACAAACTCACGAAAAAGGAAGACGAAAAAAAGACAACAGAAACAACAAACAAGAATAAGTCGTTCAAGTACAGATGGAAAGCAACACCGCACCTGCAGGTGCATTCCCGGGGTCGGGCGGTGCACCCAGACCGTGAAGCGGAACATCAGCAGGTTGAACAGAGCGTCCACCTGAAACCCCGCCGACGCAACGGGCACGGACGGGGTACATTAGATGGGGCGGAAGAGGGGGGGGATTGCTTGCCTTGGGTGTGTGGACCCGTAACTATGCATGCACCGTTACTATCGTCCATGAGTTACCGTCGGTCTCGGATAAAACATATGTACACATTCAAACATCTGCCTTCCCCATTTTTTCCTAGTTGTACATGACCTACGTTGCCACTTGCCGTACAGAACTTGTCAGCTAAGAACTGACAGAGCCTCGAAGAACTCCAAAATCTACGGTTGAAACTTGAGCACCTTTTGTCAGCCAGGTGAAGAACCCTTTTCACAAAAGAGCTACGAGTACTTCGAAGTGTATAGCGGCTTTTTGTCGCCCACGAGAGGAGCTCAGACCGTCAGCCTCGGGCCAAATCTAGAGGTTTCTGTAGCATGGGCGCTATCTGTCGCACGGGCGCCATCTGTAGCACGAATATTTTCGTTTGCATGGCCGAGGCAAAGCCACCGCCGCAAAGGACGTTTCGAAGGCGTTCAAATACTACGTAGGTGCAACGCAGGTGGGCGACCCCGGGGGGAGGAGGGGCAGCAATGAGCGGATGTGCTGGGCGACGAACGGTGGAGCAGCTGCAACTGCACAATAAAATCTTCAGTTCAACAGCGACGTCGTGTTTCTGTGCGCGTAAATGACAATAAAAATAACGGTAGGCAGTGAGATTGGAGCGTGTGCGCACAGCAGCCGTTTCACCTTTCATGCTGCAAAACCCATCAAGCAATCCGTTTTTGTCAGGATGCTGTCTAGCGCTGCACGAACCGCAGTCTTTCAAATAAGTCATCCTGACTTCTTCTGTGTGACCCTCGGTTGGTTTGCCCCAGGTGGTCGAGGCAATACGATGACCCAGTCTACCTAACACCGACTACTTTTTGCGTAGGTTAGGCTAGGGTTCGGGTTACAGGGTAAAATCTAATCTGGTTGATTTGCGGCAGGTTAGATTTTGCACCGTTTGACGAATCGGGTGCTTGCTCGTTGACGTAACATGAGGCATGAGACACACCAGCAACTACGGATCATACAACCACGGAAAATGTAGTTATGCACATGCGGCATAAGACATTCGTAGTGAAGGGTGACAATGCCGGCCTACACTGCTGTTTGGTGCGCTTGGTCGTGACCCTCATCTCCGGGGCCTCTGATACTGGAAGGGTATGCAACTGGCTGCATGTTGGGTAAAAGGAGCTACTTGCAACTCCGTGGTGTGTCGTTCTCTCCCTCGCTCGCTCGCGGATAATACAACGTGCTATGAGTCGCGGCGCTCGTTGGTTCACCCGACATCACTCACCATTCGTACAGCAGTGTGGCCAGACGGCCACAATCTGTGTGTCAGGCGGTGCAACAAGTTCCTTGTTGAATGCCTGAGTATACATACAACCAGTATAGATATGTACGCTGAATATCAGCGGGGCATACCCGTAGACGAGAGCACACGGACGGGGATGAGAGCACACGGACGGGGATGAGAGCACACGGACGGGGACACGAAGTAGAGACACATGCGCCGTTCTTTAGCTGGGCTAGGTCCTGCCCACCGGCTTTACCTCGGGCTTGAAGCGCTCCAGCGTCCCCGCAGGAAGCCCCGAACAGGCTCGGCCGAGCTGAGTCTTCAACAAGCTGTGCAGCTCCGTATCTAGCACGCCGGCATCCAGCTGGTTCACCCGCATCACCGACAGCTCTGCTGGCTCGCCCAAGGTTCCATAGACCCCCGCCGGCGACCTGCCTCCTGGCGTTTTGGTGTTGGCATTGCTGTTGGGCTCCATGGCCGAGCGCGAGCGAGAGAGTCAGCGTGGGGTGGTTGCGGTTGAACCCTCCTGCTGTGGACACCCGATCTCGCGCGGTTGGGTGCGTACAATTTCGATGTCATCCAGCGCCGATCTACATAGGCTTGCTCCGGTTTTGCCGAGACCAAGCAGCGCTGCGATGAGAGCGTAGAAGTGAACGTGTGGCAAGCCAACAGCGCGACTAGCGCATGCCACAAGCAGTATGGATGTATGGTAGACGGTGTATGGGTGATGCACCATGACACGGAGCAGGGCACGGGGGGGCGGGGCAGGGCGGTGTGGCCAGGTTGTACAAATTAAAAAAATTCTGCGTAGACCCCGCTGCCTTGGTGAGAAAACGGACTTCACATGTAACAACAGCAGTCAGCAGCAGGAGCGGGCGAAGCAGCGAGGAGACGAAGAAGAGGTGTGTGTGTGTCTGTCGCACGGGTGCATGATGTGTATGTTTTTGAAGTACTATCAGCCGTACGGCTCTGTCTCACGGCGTGTCGATCTGAATTGAATAACTACTGCTGTACGGGCGGCGTTGATGATGCGAGACGGACTGATTAGACCTGGTGTACGGCAGTACTGCCGTAACAGCAGTGTCGACAACGAGACACAGACTTTGTAGACCTATCCGTAGTACTGTTTCGGACGAGGACACCAACAGGGTGCACGACGGCACGTCACTCACGGCGGTGCCAAGGGAACCCCACGAGAGTGTTCATTGATACGCGGGGAGCTACAGCTGCAGTCCGTATCAGTGAATACAACTGCTTGTAGTCGTAATTATGAATCGAGCGTCAATATTGTTGTTGTTGTTGTTGTTTCTCACATTACACAGTTTCGGACCGGGCCTCAAAATTTTCCGAAATAAGGAAACAGATTTCTACATAAGAAAGTTTCCGGGAAACTTCCTGCAGG